CGTCTTCAGTCTGTTGAGCTAAACGCAACCTCTTCTGTGTCGTCCCACATCGATGAATTCATACCCCCTTCTCCTCCTCCTCCTCCTCTTGCTTCTCATATCGAGTCCACCATGGTTGAGGCAATGTGTCTCAGTGAATGTAGAAGGAGGGAGGATCGGCTCCACCGAGACTCACACTTCAATGCCACCACCGTAATCAGTGAGGTCGACCACATACTGTGTGTGGTTGTAGTGCACCAGCGATTCACTGGCGCCGATGCAGAGCTCAGTGTAGAATGACCACTTCCGCTTGAAAGTGATGCGATGTTTAGTGGGAATGAAGTTCACTGTGATGCAGTTTTTACCCTCCTAGCTTGTTCTCATTCCAATAACGCCATCGCAGCGCAGCAGTAGGCAGCTGCTTTCCACATTTACATCTATTATTGCCACACCGTGTATCCCATTTGGTGTGTGATCATGTGACTGCTTAACGCCACCGAGAAGGGCATAATCATTGGGACAACTGTGAGAGAAAGTGAGCAAATAGGGCTAGATATACGGTAATATCTTCCTCTGTCCTCTTTTGCAAATTTAGCGCTGTCCTTGGTAAGTAAAACATTCTTTTGCCAACTGATTAGCTAATCAAGTTTCAATGGACCGCCTTGAGTTGAATCCCCACAGACAACAAATATTAGCAAATTTTGTGCCATCACAGCCTCTTTGGTTGATTGAGGATTTTAAGATTGTCTTGTACGGATGTCGGCGTCTGGTCACCTCTCAATTAACTTTGGTGTTTTTCGTTAGAATGTGTCAAAATGGACCATATTTTGATGCAATTAGGAACTAACATGGATATCGTTTTGGGCTCTAAGAAATCCAGACTACTGCCCTTTGCTTGAGATGATGGAAAGTGCGTAATGGTTGTTATGTTCACATCGGTTTTGAAAATACTTAAACCAAAGCGTTCGCCGTAGTCTCTCTTTTCTAATCTGTAAATCCTCAACGAAGCACCTCCCGGATTCTGGCTCCTGCTTCACATCACACTTCAATAAAAAGGGTGCCGAAATTCAATGTCAGATTGTTCATTTAATTTCACAAATGAGTGCCAAACACATTTACCCCACTGACCTATTTTTCTGTTCCATTTCTGTTAATCCTCATAGCTCAGTTTGTACTTTGCAAATGAGGGGAGAAACATTCCACTTCAAGTTTACCTTTTTTTCCCAATCAATGCACAAAATTTGCATGAGATTGGAACACCTGTGTAGCGGAAAAGGCTACACAAAAAGGTGAGAGAAGCAGATGTTCATTGTTACACATGCAAAGGCATAAGCAGACTGTAACGAAAGCGACATGTGATTTACAGAGTTACTCGAATCATAAAAGTGTTAAAATTTCAAGCACGAAATCGGATGTCAGGATTAATATACTACTCATAGTGAGTAGTATGAATTCCGTTACTCTCTGCAAGGGTGGAAGTGTGACAAAATCGCTTGGTGGGGCAACAAATGCCAGTAGTACCCAAGGATGTGTAAATTGCAACTAGGAACCACTTTTAATAGATGCTATGTTTTAGAACAAATGATACGCTGAGAATTGAGATGGTGAGCAGACCTACCTCCAATTCGCGTTCGTCAAAAACTTGCAACCAAGATGGATCCACGACCTCAAAGAGACCCTTGAGGAAGGCTTCAGTCTGTTCCCCCACTCCTCGATTAAGCCTCCACTCGACCATTAGTCTGTACGAAAGGGACAAATGAAAAATATGTCTTGCATGCGAGCACAGTAGTTCGCTGGACATTAAGGAAGAATGTGGGATCTTCATTCACACCCTACATCATATCACAAGTACGTAAAATTTAATTTACTAAGCAATTTACTATGTAAAGGAAGGTCATTGTTGTCGTTCCAGGCCAACGGAGGATCTAATGGGTAGGTGTGGAGATCACCCTCATCTTCTGACATTCCAATCCCTTTATATTAACCATTCTTACCACTGCTAACGTCAACAAGAAGTTCGTCATTTCTTAGGAGCATTATGAGTCTTCTACGATACCATTTAGTTCCTTGCAACAATAAAAAAATGAGGAGGTTATAATGCTATTACCCTTGCGATGATGATTCACGCGGAGGTAATTTGCAATGCATGAATCCACTTCTTTCTCCCAATGAAAATGTTTACTACCATCACTACCTGGACTTCCTCAGGATAATTAAACCAGGTTCCAGATTATTCAGCATTGGTGACGATCGACTACCGGCCACTACTTAAGCATCAATTTCGTAGCCATCTAGAGCAGTTTAATGAAGGTGATTGTGATAAAGAATGCAGGTTTAAGATACTCCCATGTGATGGAGACTGATGAAAAGGTTGTGGTGAGATCCTTGAGAAGAGAAAGCAACCTGGAAAGCCAAAAAGTAACAGTATGCAAGCGGCAACACTTCACGTGGAACATGTTGCGCATGTACACTTCCATTTGCCTCTTTCGTGGTCACCCAGGTGAGAAGGACGGTGTCGGTGACACCTCAGAAGGCACCACTCATACAACTCACTCTGTCCAGAGGCACAAGACGCGCCAGACACGACCGGTCCGGCGTGGTGTCGTGATCCAGACAAGCAATCAAAGTATGCCAAGCAGACATGCAAGATTGTTCGCATCAACACCTACTAGTTGCTCTTTCAAATGTTGTGGAAAGGAGTGAGTAGGTTTGTTTGACAATCAACCACTTCCCACTTCCTCCCATTCACTCACCGCCCCTTTCTCTCCCACCTCAGAAGAAAGACGTCACGACGAAACGATGGAGAACGTCTGGTGAAGGCTAAAAGCTTCCTGTGGTGTTTGGTGAGAGACTTCAAATGTGCATCGTTTTCTCATACCTTCCGCCTTCCCTCAGTGCATCAAGAAAGAAAAGGATTTGTTGTCAGACTCCAGTGAATTCTGTGATCTCCAGAGGTGGTACAGTACCTCCACCGAGGTTAATGACGCTACACTTGACTTCCTTTTACACCCCAACTACAAACGAAGTGCATTTTGATGATCGTCGAACATGATAGGTAAAAGGAGGAAGCAGAAGAATAGGACGCCCAAGGCGATATCACTCACAACACCAAAATCAAACACATCGAAGGCAGAGGGCGAGTAAGTGATGCCGGTGTATGGAATATGTGTCTACTAACTAATCCGACATCTCAGACATCGATGTTTCCACCTATCAGTGCTTAACACCACGCAATTAATAACAACCTTAAATGAATGCGCACAGATTTTACGACTCCTGACAAGTGAGAATAATCTTCTCCACTCCCTAACCCAGTAAACATGGCATCTTGAAGATTAACGAACGCCTCACCTATCTCCATCGCTTTGTACTACCACTAATGATATCTCATCCTAGCACTGTGTTAAAACACAGAGGCGTTTTCTCGATTTTTGCCTGCAAATGTATCACGTTGTGCCAACAACTCCACAACGGCCATGACTGGAATGGCAGTTTCATCAAGATGTGGATGTGAACCCTATGAAATTGCAAAAAGAAGTTGATCCATCCATTCTTTAGCAGGCGATAAGAAGAAGTCTGGATCGAAAATTAGCAGGAATATGTGAAGATGTCGTCCTAATAGGATTGATGGAGAAATGATGAAGACTATAAGTTTATTGGCATTTCGTCTTAAAGGTGTCGAAAGTTCTCCCATCAACTAGTCCTTTTTATGAGCACGACAGATTGTCAATTTACTTTTGAGCCCAAAAGAAATTGCTTTGCCCATTAGACGCTGTAACGAATTGCTCGTTTTCTCAATGGAGGAAAAAAATGTTACACTTAGTGACATTCCCAGGAAGTGGAGCAATGAAGACGATGGGGATGAAATTTGTGGGCTTGCAGCAGTTCCAACTATACCTTCAAAGTGCGAAATTACAAAAAAAAAAACAGTCACTTGGGTGATAATCGCAACAACTTATTCACTGATTTTGCTTGGAGAAGGAAAGCATTGTAACAGTTAAACTCTACAAGAGGAGGAAAATTTTTCAATCCTCTAAACGCAACAAAAGAAATGAGATGAGAAAGTTGGAAGAAGTACTAGAAGAATTTGCGTTGTAGCTTCTCCTCTTGAGATCAGAGTCTTTGCCGATGGAATAAAACGTCAGATAGGTAAGAAGTGGCGATGCCTTAACTGAACCCACCAAGCTGGAATTATGCCTCAAGTCAATGACAATCGGCTCTTCTTCCCTAAAATAGCGCAATGCCAACAGAGGAGAAGGAGTGGTGCAATGAGTCCCACTTAAACACATTCAAGTTGGATGAGTATCGACGTGAGGGAGTATTGAAAGGTTGTCCACACCACACCACACAATTTGCATCGGTGGACAGGTGGCTGACCGTCCGCTGGAGTCATAGATGAACTGGTCAAACCAAAAGTCCATTTGTGATGACGATACAGGGGCAGTAAAAGTGGTACGAGGGACGAGAGTTAAAGACCATTTGCACAAGTTGTGACACGTAGGGGACTAACACAGTCATCGATAGGAGGTGGATGAAACAATTCAGGGGCTACCAAAGTTACTAAAAATACTCGAACAGGAATGTAAAAAGGATCGCCTTCAGAAGAGGTTAAAGCGAATGACAGTGAATAAATTTTATCACATCTGCACCAACCACACTACTAGAGACGGAAGCTCTTACGCCAATGGCCTCCATGTGGACATGCATTGCCACGTGGCAGACAAAAGACTAAAATGTCATCAATTTCATTGCATTATTTGTCCCTCCATTATGTCAAAATGTCTCTTTGAAGACTAATGATTACTGACAATGAAGTGCCTCATTTTTACTCATATCCTACCATTTGAGACGCCAATCAATGCATCTCTCATCTCTAAACCACGTTCCTTTTCAACAAAAGACTGTGTATGGTGAGGAAAATTGTTGAATGACCTGCCAAAGGTTGTTGGAAATGTAAAGCTTTAAATAGTCAGCAAAACATGTTGTAAAAGATTGCAACAAATCCTCTCCATCGCCTTCCTCTTTTATTTCATTTTTATTTTCTTAAAAACCAGCTAGAAGAGGTCAACACTGAGCAGATCAAACTTGTTCTCCTTTTCCTACCACAGCTATTCTCTCCGCCTTTTTGATTTTTAAACAAGTGGTGTGGATAATCAGGTTTTCTAGTGCCCCAACCTGATTTGTACGCTCGTGCCAAAACTTTCAACTACGAAGCGGAATATTAGATCTTCCCTACCGTTGCGTATTACCGACATCCCCACATTACATGATTCAATTCGAGGGCGTTACCTCCTTTCCGTATGGATGTGAGTTTAGTTGGCTAGGTCAACCACATGATTCCCAATTCAGGTAAGAGAGATTCGCTAAGCACACCACCGAATTCCACACAAGGCACTGTCAATGCTCACAAGTGCCATTGTCCAAATCGGTCGCCAACTCAACTAGCAATGTTAAACCGTCTCGTTGAAAGAAAGGATCTGGGTAGAGTGGACGTAATTCCCCTCTTGATTCTCCGCTTCGCACACACTTACACACAAAACATTCATCCACCCCTTCGACTAGGAAGTAACTTACACCTAACACTCACTTCAAATATTCCATCTTGTTAGCTTCGGTGACTTTAATCTCCCTACCGCCTGGCTTCAACTCTTCCTCCTGCAACGAATCGAACTTGTAGTAGTTACCGTTGAAGTACAATTCCAAGTCCAATTCGTCCACGTCGTTGTCTCTGTGGGTAGACGAAATAGCTTTAAGAGTCGCGTGACGGACGGGTAGAACTTCATCAGAGGAGACAAACAAGAAACTCAGTCACACGCAATGCCAACGTCACATCTCTATGACACTTTGGTGACTGCACCTGCCCTGCAAATCTCATCACAGGGTTGTACTGGAGTGAGTAGCAAATTGGGTTATAAAATGCAAACATTAAATATTAATAACACCTCTAAACGCCATATTAAGGTAATAAAACATTTAGGCCGTGGTTTTGGCTTCCATCCTTAGGCCCCGCGTTAGCAATGAATACGAACATTTTATGTGCTAGTAACTCAAAAGAGGTTTCAAAAACCTTCAAGCAAAGGTCAATTCCTACCGAATGAAGGCGAGGGATTGGTAGAAGTCGTGATCAACCAACTCGAGATCCTGAAGACAGGTCTTTCGACCGAGGATACGCTTGTAGAAGGCCAAGGTAAAACCACCATCAATGCAACGACCATGAAATAAAGCCTAAGGGAGGGGAGAAAAGAACAGAGACAGTAAATTTAAGTCCGACTGCAGAGGCCTGCAAGGACAGTTAAAAGGTCTCCAATCGTCGAACAGGCTCTTTGTCATTTTTTCCCGCAATTTACTGCCTTCGTTAAACCCCAATGGCCACAATCGGAAGAACCACTTCAACAGATGGAAGATAGTAAGTTTCGGAGATCATCAATTTGCTGTTCGTCATTTTCTCCACCAGACTAAAACGCACCGGTTTCGTAATATCGACAGCTAATAGTGGAATGAAGTGATTATTCAAATCCATGAAAGGCACAATCCACACTTCGTAGGTGCTGTCACATTCATGGAATGTGAAGATGGAAGTAAAAGAGTAAACTCTTTGTCGTGTTCGTTTTGGGAGGCCAGACAGAACTAATGAGTCATTCATTGGGCAGAAAAGTCGTCTACCCAATTTTACAAAACAATCGAATGCCTCGTTGTGGATAGGGAGAAAACCACGACAGTGAAGAAATTAACGATAAAAGAACCAACTACTCCAACCAACTACTCGCCTTTTCCCTGAAGTAGACCTGTACTGATAGCAACAAGGAGGCACAGAAGCCAAAGCGACAGCAGTATTTTCTGCATCAAGGTGGAAGCTTCTAGTCTGATACAGGTAGTGCATGGCCTACGAGACAGGCGTTTCAAGCATCCTTCTGCTCTTGAGTGCCAAAGTGAAAGCTTCTAGTTTGATGCAGGTGACGGCAAGTAAACCAAGCCTCGTGTTTGGTCCCTCCGAATTGCCAAAGCTAGAAAAGAAAGTTGTCTTCGTGGTGATTAGAAGTCTTCATGGTCACTTAAGGCCTTCTCATTCGTCACTTGAATGACTATCAGGTGAGCCTTTTGTGAAAATGAGGACATTGTGGATAAGAGATGGATCAAGCTTGACACCTGATAAGACCAGGAACCAACACACTTCCAAAACAACGTGCGTAAAGGTTGCTGAAGACACCCACCATTCCAATGACGCGACCAATGAAGTGAAAGTAGTCGAGGTGAGCCACATTTGCGACATCAGAGGCGGGATTAATTTGCAGGGAGTAGTGTGCTCCAGTATACTCGAAGAGACCGAACATAGGATTGAAGAAGTCCCGTGACACACGTAGGAACCATTCTCTGTAAAACAAACACAAACAGGCATCGAAATGCTTAAAATATTCCAAATGCAACTCTAGTTATAACAAAATAGACTAATTCTCACAAGTCACGTAGCGTTGGCAACAACTCTGGTGAGAAGTTAATTGCGCCAGAATGAAAACTAACGACAAAAGCAGAAAAGGATTAAAATGCCAGTTGTCAAGGTACTTATCACACCAACAAATGTGTCAAGATATTCAAGGCGCTTTTAGCAACCACCGTGGGCATCACAAGTAACACAGAAACCTTTACAAGAAACTGAAATGGCATTGTTTTGCCTTGGACTGAAACTTCTTAGGATTTATGAATGTTTTACAAATCGGGTACCATCTGATTCCATCGACTTAAGACCTACTTTAGCGGCCGAATAGTACAAGGCATTCCTTCCCAAAAGCCATCATTTCGAAGGTGTGAAGGAGAGACTGCAATTCGCACTGTTCAAGGGCAACAAAAAAACGAAATCTACATTTCGGAAAAGGACATTGAAAGAACTATTCCAATCAAAGTTGGCACTTCCCATCCAAGTAATCCGCCTGTAATTTCACATTTTGGCAATTGTTTAGTAAACAGGAAACCGTAATTAAAGGTCGCAATTTTCAAAATTCTGTTTTTTCATGCTCAACAACAGGCCGAAGAGAAAGGAAATGAAAGGTGGTGGGCGTAACTTTTCACTGCAAGTGTTAAAACCTCTCAACTGAACCGCATTGCCAAACATGTTGGTGCAAGGCATTTCAGAACTGTATGCAAGCAGCTTTTATAAAAAAAAAAAAGATGACCTTTACAAACACTGGTCTGATTTTTAAGAGATGTGGACAGATGTCAACTCGTGCAACGTTCCAGACGGGCTCTAGTCAGGTAAAATAAGTTTCATAAAAGTGACTTAGGCACAAAGATCAAGGTCAATCATTCAAATTGAAGCTGTCAGGCCACCTAGACTATTTAGTCGTCTAATGCGCACAAAATGGCCGTATCACATTCACTTGCTTCTGCAGTCGAAGTTTTGACATGCAAATCGCCTACTGAAAGGACTGAAATGGCCCCACTAACCCACCCACTCGCGTAAACACACCCACTCGTCTGACAAAACTTTTGATAGCAGACTATAAAAATGGGAGATAAGATGGCTAGACTGGACAGCTACGGAAAAATTAATAAAGGGATAAACTGTCAGTAGGTAGGAGTAAGATTGAAACTTTTAATTACACTTCCAAGGAGACAAAACCTATCCAAAAAAATAAATTGTGGCAAAATGTAAAGTCGAATGGTGATGGTCAAGAGTGGAGGTCGTCTAAGTGATATTTCAGGTCAATACGTCCACTGTGCATACCTGCCGACACTGCAGACAGCGTCTTCTATGTTTCTCTCACACATTCAGTCCAAGTGGTGCTCACCTTTGATGGATGGAGTTGATTGCTGCGCCAGTCATTCACTTGCCCCAACCAATAGTACGTCAAGTCTACTCA